TCAGGAATATGCTTATATGCAATTTATGTACAGCAATTCTAATCAAAAGTCGTAGGCACATGTCTTCCCGTACTCCGCCCAAATCCCATCCCAATGTCTATGCACAATCGTTATCGCTGTAAATCAAGATCATTTACCGTGGCATCCGGTAGTGTTCGTACGAGGTGAAGCTGGGGTCGTCCTGCTCTACAGGTCCATATCCCCTCGTCCGCCACCGATCCAGCGGCGTCACCGTCTCGTTCACCGCCGGGCCCTGCGCATGATGGAGCAGCTCTGTCTCGCTCTCGTTTCGCTGCTGGTAGAGTCCACCGTTCATCGGGGCCGGTACGCGGAAGGCGGGATGAATATGGTCGTTCAATGTCGGGTCGTATGCGTCATGCGGCTTCAAGCCGGACAGCGACGACGGCAGCGACGGAGCGGGAGATGATGCCCGCGAGGAGGTTGGTGACCATTCTCCCAGCGCACTGGCCGGTGTGTGCGAGCGTTCGGTCATCAGATCGTCGGGCCGGCCGTAGATACCTCCGCCAAACTCGTCCCGGAAGTCGGGGCGGTTCTTGTAGTACGAGAAATCCAAATGGTTCTCCGGGACCACTTCGAACGGAGCTGCTGCGTTTGCATCGTCCATCATAGACTTTCCCGGGTGTGAAGACGACATGGCATCCATCGCGATGTCGGAATATTCACCTTCGCCCTCGAACGTTCCCAGCCGGCCGCTATAGATACGCTTCAAGGCCTCCGCAGCCTTGGCGTGCACCATCGGCGTGATCAGTGGCTTGTAGAGAGCCGGGTGGCCGAACTTGGAGTTGAGCCGCTCAGATGCCTTCTTGTTCGGCTTGCTGACCGCCAGGGCTTCAGCATCTGTCAAGTTCGCGCGGTTGTAGAACGTGATATCGTCGTCGAACTTTCTCATGCAGTAGAACTTGAAGCCCAACATCAGGAGAGGAGGAGGAATCACGCAATAGACCATAGTCCACGTGCCCTTGGCGGTAGCCACGATGATGATGATAATGTTGGAGAGGATCACGGCAAAGAGCATGCGGTTGAACAAGACCCGCCAAAACTGCCCTCCAGACTCCGTCTTCGTCACGAATACATACAGGAGCATGTATTTCTTCATCATCGCATCCAGGCCAAAGTACAAAGCAGTAACGGGGAGGACAATCGGCTGCAGGGTAGCGAAGCAGAGGGCCACGGTCGCGTAGAATAAGAAGTAGTTATAGTAGCTTGCGTAGTCAAAAGCCGGCGGGGCCGTCCATTCAATCGCCTGCCGAGGCGTTGGCGAGAGAAACGTCTTGGAGAACCAGACCCAAAAGACCGAGACCAGCTGAATGAGGTCGATTGTGGCTCCTAGATTACGCTGCAGCAAATATGTCACCCAAAATGGCGAGACCTGGCACAGAGCGTTCACAATCTTGATATAGAGTTTCCCGTCTTTGATCGCTTGCCAGGCGTTTTCATCGGAGCGCTCTGCATCAATGACGGCGGACACGAATGTCCACGCCGCAGAAAACAAGGAAAAGACGATCAGATTGTTGAAGACGAAGAAAGTGTAGAGCTTGTTGAGAACATGGCGCTCTCGGGAGGTCTTGGTGACATCGCCGGCTCGGATTGCCAACCGACGGAAGATGATAGGCAAGACAATGTAAACAAGGGAGGTAACGGCAGGGGACAGGATACCCTGGACTGCGGCCCAGATGTAAGGACTGTTATCCATCGAAGTCCGGAATGCCGGCCAGACCGAGGCCAGGTTGTTCAAATTGGACAAGAAGATCGCAATCAAGCCGTTAGGTACGACGTACACCAGCGTAAGAACCGACACCCAGATTGCACTAAGAAACCGCTTCCACTTGCGCGCAGCCTTCGACAGTGGCAGGTTTTCCCAAATGAGGTCATCGGGCCGGGGCGCCAGAACAATTGTAGTTCCTTCCGGGTGCTTTTTGCGCGCGGTATAAGCAACAGCGTGGGCATGCTCAATCATATCCCAGCTGACAAAACCAAAGGGCATGGCATTGCGCCGATCAATCGATGATCGAACATGCTTAATCTCTTCTTCCAGTCTTTTGATCTTATCCGTCAAATAATCAATCGCATCCACGCGGCCGTTAGTGTGCTCTCCTCTTTCCTTTCGCGGAGGGCGCATAGTCGGACGTTTCGGTGGAAGCCGATCTGGGTGTTTAAGGTATTTGGCCAGGACTGCTTCGAGTTCGCGCACAGTTTCGTCGTGTTCCTTGATCAGACGAGGCAGTCCCTTGACGTTACGGCCGATGGAGGCTCGCGGGACAGCGGCGGTTGGATTAACCTCATCCGTCAAACGCAGAACACCTTCATCCCCTCGAGCTGCGGGAGGAATATCAGTAATCTGCCGGCGCAATAGGTCAGTACAAGTATATCGTGTCTATAGGATTGCTTCATCGCACCATCAATGTTCGCGCATGGAGACTGCGCTGATATTCGGGACTCTCAAAATACTTCCTCCGCAGCGCCAGCACGCCCTTGTAATTTCTCCAGAGGAAGAAAGCAATGATCGCATCAAAGGCCCATGCGCATATCACCTGGCCCCAAATTGCGTCGGACGTAACGTAGAGCACGGTCATCGTCGAGAAGGCACCATACTGGGACACAGTATCACCCGTGCTCTGTGTGAGATTGAGCGGGATCATGAGGCCGCAGCCGATAATGCTCAAGAAGATAAAAATATTCCGGCACATCTTGGTGAAGCGAACAAACATGGTCGCATCGAGCCCAATGCAGTCGACCAACGCCGGCTCCTTGGTCCGCAGCACAGGCTTGAGCCAGGCGAAGAAGCCCCTGCCCACTGGCGGCGGAGTGTGTTTGTTATCGGCATGTTTCACCTTGGGCGCATAGACGACCGAATGGCGAGGGCGGAAGAGGGAGAACAATAAGGCCAAGAGGATGGAGAAGCCCGCGGAGGTGGCTAATGAAGCCCAGATGGCGTTGACTTGGAACTATAAAAATTTCTTAGCTGGCTGTCGGAGGCTGAAAGTGGCGGGTGGGCGATAAAAAAAACATACGGCAGACGAGAAAGGATTCGAGATGAGCTTCAGGAATTGCTCCGTGGGGTCATCGCGCTGCTGAAGAGCGCTAGGATGCATGATGGCGGGCGAGACGAGGCGGCATCGAGGGAGCAGAACGGGAGAAACGAGGGAGGATGAGATAAAGACAAAGAAAGAAGGGACGATGCCACCGGAAGAGAAGGGAGGAAAACGAGAGTGAAACCGAACCAGATAAAGGAACTGATGGCCACGGAAGAAACTGAATGATGATGGAGAAGCAAGAGGGCCCGAGTGGGTTTTGTTGGAGGCGGGTCTGGAACACACGACGCCGACAAGGTTGGAGTGGCCGTTGCCCATCAATCCATTCTTCTGGGGATCAATGGGCGGTCTTACTTACGTACCGGAGGTACGTATCAGGCCCGATTGACAGGCAGGCTCGGTCGGAAATGCATTAATTAACTAAGTAGTGATACGCTGTCTGTGGTGTCATTGGTCCTCGCATGACCGGGGACAGCCGATCTAGAATGTAGGAAGCTTGATTTCCCCTGCTTGATTGCAGATGTATTTCAACTATTTTCCCCCCTCCCCCTTCTATAGTATCCTTCAGGCCCTCCATGCTCGTTCCTCTGCCGCACGGGTTTTCAGGGTCACTCGGTGACCGTGCCAGCAGTGCTCGCCTCAAAAACAGACTTTCCAGCAAGTTCAGTGACAAAAAAGCAAAAACCACAACAGCCCTGATCCACTCGGGCGATTTGGTTGGTTCATGCCCCATCCTCGACCGGCTTGCTATTTTGGTGGGCCAATCCCGGTCAGTCATTGCCAGCCAGTCTGGAACAATTTCTGATCATCTTCGGACTAGCGCTGCCTTTCTGAGACACATTCTTGGCACTTACACCCAGTGGAGTCTGATATTTCGGGGCGTCCGTTGGCTTGATTGGCCGCAATACATGGCAATGCTGTCCGGGTACCTTACCTGACCATACTTACCACTGTGGCTGACCAGCAACTCTGTGGCTCTGGGTCAGATGGAGAACAGAAGAAAGCACTTCTTTCCATTCCATTAAGTGAAAGAAAACGGGCCCTGTTAGCGAATCTCCGTCTCATTGGGCACAGTAGAAGAGAATGACGGCACCTCATGATACTCATGTACCGGCTGATGTGGCTATCTGATCCCTCGGATTATGTAACCCCTTTTCGCACCACGCATACTCTGTACTCTACTTGGTGCACGGCTATTTCACTACTATTGCCAATAGTAGTGAGGATCCGTCTTACACAGTCAGGAAAAAGGGGGACAGAGTAGCTGAAGGTCATGAAAATTGGGAGCACCAGAATCACTCAGTCGATCGGGTTTCAGGGTCCAACACTATGACCCCATGGACTAGGGATTCTATTAGCCGCGCACAGATGATGGTGGCAACGGGAAAGGAATTGATTGCATTGGTGCAAGATACAGTTGAGACAAGCAGAGCTGATATAGACGGAATAGCCTTCCTCTCACTGGTCGACCTCGATGGTGATCATGGGTCCAAGCTGACAGCATCACACCCGAGTATTCTATTTATACATACAGAGCGGGAAAGGGCTCATGTTTGCGTGAATTGATGTCCTGAGACAAACTCCATCACCTACGGCTGATTGGAGCGAACACGGGTCCATGAAGTCATCGCTCGGTTACGCTGCCGAAGTGATCACAACGTGCGCATTAAGTTTCATACAGCAGACATTACTTTATTTCGTCTTCAGACTACTTACGGAGTACTACATACATCATCATCAGCATCATCACCGCTCTCAGAACTCCGTATCAATCAACAACATCAAGCATCCCCACAGAGGCAGCCAATGGGGCCCCGTATCATGGCCCCAGGTTACGGTCAAACAAACAACATATTTTTGCCGTTCTTAAATTGTCATTTTATGTACTGGTATCTGGTTTCGTCATATTCCGAAGGCACATCACATCAGGTAAACGTCAAGACCTTTTTACAGCTGGCCAGCAGTGTTGAAGTCCTCCAGAGCAACCTGGACACGCTTGGACATGGTCTTCTCACCCTCACGAACCCAGACGCGGGGGTCGAAGAACTTCTTGTTGGGCTTGTCCTCACCGTCGGGGTTACCGACAGCGGTCAGGAGGTAGTCCTTCTTGTTGAGCATGTAGTCACGGATACCGGACATGTAGGCGAACTGCATGTCAGTGTCAAGGTTGACCTTGACAACACCGTAGCTGATAGCCTCCTTGTACTCCTCCTTGGAAGAGCCGGAGCCACCGTGGAAGACAAAGAAGACGGGCTTGTCAGAGGAGGAGTTGGTCTTCTCCTTGACGTAGGCCTGGTGCTTCTGGAGAAGCTCGGGGTGGAGACGGACGTTGCCGGGCTTGTAGACACCGTGCACATTACCGAAACCAGCGGCAATGGAGAAGTAGGGGCTGATGGGAGCAAGGGCGTTGTGGATGGCAAGGATGTCCTCGGGCTGAGTGTACAGGGAGTTGTTGTCAACATCCTCGTTGTTGACACCATCCTCCTCACCACCGGTGATACCGATTTCCTAAAGAGTCAGTCGACAATCTTGTCTAGTAGCAACGACAGTAGGACATACCATCTCGAGCCACTGCTTCATGGGGGCAGCACGCTTGAGGTAAGCGGCGGTGGTCTGGATGTTGTAGTCGACGGGCTCCTCAGACAGGTCAATCATGTGGCTGGAGAAGAGGGGCTCCTGGTGGAGCTTGAAGTACTCCTCATCCGCGTCGAGGAGACCATCGAGCCAGGGAAGAAGCTTCTTGGCGCAGTGGTCGGTGTGGAGGACGACGGGAACGCCGTAGGTGGGAGCAATGCTGCGGATGTAGTGGGCAGCGGCGATACCACCGGCAATGGAGGCCTTCTGGCCATCGTTGCTGACACCCTATCATGAACAGTCAGTGGCTGTTTCTGGCTTCAAAGGAGCACCTATAGGTCAGGAAAAAGGTTCCCAAACGTACCTTGCCAGCGAAGTAGGCAGCACCACCCTGGGAGACCTGGAGGACGATGGGGCACTTCTGGTCGCGAGCAGCCTCAAGGCAAGAGACGACGGTGGAGGAGGAAGTCACGTTCTAAAGTGATGGGGGCAGCTGTTAGTCACTGGAGTCTGGTTTTGCGGGATGGAATTGAGGGGTGGTGAGACCTACAATGGCGGGGATAGCAAAGCCCTTCTCCTTAGCGTAGTTGAAGAGACGGAGAACGTCATCACCAACGATGACACCGGACTTGCGGGAGAGCTGTTCAAGGACACCCATTGTGATTGTTTGTAAATGAGGACTAAGGGAGATAAACTGATGAGTAATTGATAGATTGATGAATGGAGAGAAGAGAAGAGGACAACAGGAGGAGGAGCGAGACAGGGAGACCAAATAAATTCTGTGGCAGAGGACTAAAAGCTTTACCGAGCGACGAATACGGAGCTGGACATTTAAATGACGAGCACGGGCAAGGAGGGGCAACGCAGGACCAGGAGGGGGGGAACTTGGGACATGGAGGGGCCAACAGTACTCGAAGGACTCACCGGGTGGTGGGGAATGATGTGTTCAGTATGATTTCAGTGACCGGTTGGGGTTCCACGGGAGAGAGCTGTTCGTGGTGATGCTAATGAAAGAAGATGATTGCAGATCAAGAAGGGGTAAAGAAGAGAATTGGAGGGAAGGGGGGAAGAAATTTCCAAGTTCTATCCGGGATCTTGTAGAGATCTTTTAAAAGTCTTCAACACCGGACAAATCTAGTCCGAGGCTATGATGATGCTTCCATCTTGTTCCCTTTCCTGCCTGCTATGGTGGGGTTCATTCGGAAGCCCGCAATGACGCTGCTGGCTGCCTCAGGCTGCATAATTCTCCCGGGAATCCCCGCGCCCATCACATGACATCATGCAGGCTGCCTTGCCTTCGGTCCGACTTTCTATCGTCCAGGAATCAAGCAGCAGTGTTGGCTAACAGTGGGTAGTAATTGCTGCTGGTCTGCTATAAATGTGGATACAGTACTCCGCCTTACACCTACATAGCAGGTACGTAGTTTCCCAGGGTCTGTATACAGCAGCATAGACGGGGCTGGAGGGTACATCATCACGTCGCTGTGATCAATGGTCAACCGGTTGCACTGGACAACCATTTCGGCTACTGGCCCCTTTTGGGTTCCTGCCTGCGAAAACATTGACCCAGTTCTCTCCGTATTTCTTTCGTGCTTCATCCAGCACCGGAGAATTCAGCGGGAATTTTCCTCCGTTCTCGTTGCAGGATGTTCCAACCACTTCGTTGCTTTTCTGCCGGTCACGGCCTAGACTGTCCTTCCCCGGTCCAGCTGATCTGAAAATAAGATAAAGAGGGGGTGCTCTTCCGCCGATATGTGGAGCCTTGGGTAACCCCGGGTTGGGGATATCCTCGTCCTTGTAGTATTCCGGGCCTAAAACCGGATAACCACCGGCGAAACGTTCAACCTGCATGGTCCGGATGACGGGCTGGCTAGTCAGGATTGTTCGAGACCCGAGGGAAACTAACCCCAACGGCATCGAAGCAGTTAGTTCATGTCTGTAGTGTTGTGTTTACGCATATAGTCAGTATCCACTTCCTACTAGGAGCGCAATCTCCAAAAATTCTCGTGATTGGAGTGTAACTACTGTCACATAATAATACATAGAGCTCAATTCAAATGGGTAACAGAACTATTGCAAAAGTCGCATCAAGAAATATCAAGCATCGGTTCCGTTCACTTGCGGCGAGTAGGCTCCAACGAGCATACTGAACTGCCCTCCTCCTGCGGCACCAACCAGCTTCTTTCCGTTGACGTGCTTGTTTTGGAGGAGGGTTGGCCGTTCAACCTCATCCACATCGCGGTGGCCGGCTTGACGCTGTACGTTAAAACCCCAGCTGTACGCCTGACCGTCTTTGGTAATAGCAAAGGAGTGGTCACTGGAGGCCGTCGCGAAGACAACCTCTTCCTTGATGTCGGTGAGGGGAGTTGGCACCGTCAGGATACGGGGCCGTCCATGCTCATCGTGCACAAGCTCCTCCTCCGGCATGTCCGCCAGCGGGATACCAAGAGCCTTGTTATCCACGCGTCCCCATGAAAGGCACTTTCCGTCTTCGGTGACAGCCACACTGTGGTCCTTTCCACCGCAGATGGAGACGATCTTGCTGTGCTTGCGGAAAGACTTGACTTCCGTCGGGTAGAGAACGACGGCATCGCTTTCTCCAGCGCTCATCGGGACGGCCGTCTGCCCGAAGTTGTTAGAACCCCAAGCGTGCACGCGACCGTTCTTGCGGACAGCGAAGGAGTGGTAAGAACCAGTTCCGATGCTCACGACATCCGACGGAAGCGCGCACTGTCCCGGGATGAGACTCTCGAGCTTGCCGTGCAGACGTCCAGAAATTCTCCGACCAAGCTGGTTCTGCTCCTCACAACCCCAGGTCAAAACAGCGCCCTTCGCTGTCAGCGCCAGGACGTGCTGTGCGCCAGACGCAAGCTGTGTCACTTTCTCAAGACCGGGAACCAAAACTGGCTGTCTTTGGATCTTCGTCTCGGGAGAGAAACCGATCACACCGTTGCTTCCCTATTCCGAGTTAGATCAAAAGTAACAATAATTCGAACATAAGCGTGGCAACTCACTCTGAATGTACCCCAACCATAGACACGACCCTCCTGAGTGAGAGCGAAAGTGGCACTATCCGTCGCGGTAATCTGCGTGAAAACAGTACCTTCAGGGAAGAGAGCAGAGTCCACAGCCGTGGGAGTCGCCTCCTTCATGTTGAGGTCAACCTCATCATCATCAGAGTCCGAGTCCGACTCCTCCTTAGCCTCATCGCCATTTACGCCATCACCGTTCTCCTCCACCTTGCGCTCCTCCTTTGTATCTCTACCCAGCGTACCCTCATCATTGACACCCCAAGTAAGGATCTTGTTATCGTGCGTAAGAGCAGCCGAGTGCACACCACCGATAGCCAACTGCACGACACCGACCGATTCCGCGGGCAGCTTCGGGTTTAGGACCGGACCAGGAATTTCAGACTTTTTCGTCGCATCTCCAAGACCCAATTCACCGTAGCAATTCGTTCCAAAGACATATACATCGAGGCGCTGAGTAGGTGCGTGGTTGATGACGGCCAGAGCTTCTACCGGAACGAAACAAATACCCGTTAGCCCAACATTCCGCGGAGCAACATCATCGAACGCGCCACAAAAACAAACCCCAAAACAAAGCAGAACACTAATTTCGCAACGCAATTGATCGATTGAACTCACCCTTCTGCTTCTTGGTCACGCGCGCCGGTGCCGCTGGTGCAGCCCCTGACGTTGTCGTCTCTTCCACAGAGTCTGCAGCCTTACGCTTCCTCGAAGAAGCCTGGGGTTTTGCGCTCGCGCTGGTGTTGGCGGTCTTCTTCACCTTGTCGGCAGCAGCAGTCTTCGAGGCAGTCTCGGTTTTGGCCTTTGAGGCGCTAGATGCTGCGCGTTTGGGAGGCATTGTGTGATGGTGTTTTTGTGTTTCGCCTCTTTTTGTTATGAAAGACGGTAAGGTGAGATGTAGTATGTGATGCCTACACCCGAATTGATAGAGGAATTGGTAAGTAGGCAGAACAAATTGGCAAAGTATGAGAAAAAAGGGAAAGAAAAGGAAATAAAAAATTTGCGATAAGGGTTGCGGAAACTAGGTCGGTGAGATTATGCGGTGTTGGAGAAATTCAATAGTAGTAACACACCAGAATAAACAATAATAAATATTGAAATGATGGCAGGGATATTCGGAACCTGGAACAGAAAAGTGTTGTGCGCTCCAATCAGGGAGTGTTGTTGGGACGGGAGGCGGTTCCGGGGGCTCCCTGCACTGACTAAGGCGGTGATGAGGTGATCTTGGGTTCCCTGTTTTTCAAGGGGCGCACTGCATTAGCGGTCGTGTCCGTCGTATGACAGTCAGGGGACGCGGGAATGTGAGTGTTACTGGATAGTAGTAGAATGGAGATATCCGTGATGTGAGTTGTGTTTTTACTATCTCGAAAAATAAGAGGTAGGAACCTCGTGCATGTGTCTAATACTGTGTACTGTCTAATATGGTTTTGATGTTCCTTTTGCATAACTGTCATTCCTGAGCCGCTGCGCGACAAGGCTCCTTACATGGGTCGGTGAAATGGGCTTGTATATACCCCCGAGATACTCCTCTATTTATCCAGTATGCGTTTATTCTTATTTCCCTCGTATATGCATAAAATAGAAGTGAAATTGAAGACCGCTTACGCACCAGGCGTGGGCTTCTCAATCTCATAGAACAAGAGGTAGACCTCGCGCTGCATCCCCAAAACATCGGATGTTTTGCATTCTTTGACTTTCTCGTCCGAGACACGCCACCATCGGTCGTTCTGCTTACGGCGTCGACGGAGCCGACTGCTGGATCCGGCCGATGCTTCAACTGAAGTTGCTGGCGTACTGCGATCGCTGGTGAACGACGCTCGCGAAAATGACTTGCTCCAGCGTCCACCCTCAGTGGAGGATGAGCTGTGCGGGTCTGACACAGGCGATAGGTTTTGCTTGGATGTTGACGACTTCGAGCGAGTGCTCTGGAAAGACACCCGTGGGCTCGATGTCGGTCGAGGAGTCGGCGACGGGGGTGGTTGCAGTTGAGAGGGACGGGTCGGTGACCCTGTCAATGTCGAGATGCTTAGAGGTGCCGGCTCGCTCTCTGAAGACTTGCGAGCCTTTAGCTGAGGGCTAGGCGCCTCGGATGGGTTTTCGCTAGTTGCCCGACTCTGAGCGTACGAACTGAATACATCTGGCGTTGAGAAGGGTGGATAAAGGATATTGCGTCGGAATGACTCGTAATGTCCGCTATGGTGGCTGCCTTTATGACAGACAATTGCCAACAGCTTGTACCATTCTCGGCTCAAGATACCACCCAAAGGCAACCGCTCAGGAAAAGATACTTTGGCTGCGTTCTTGGTAGAGCTGCTGTGGTCAAAGATCGATCGCGAAAGATGGATAGCAATGATTTTGGGGAAGGCCGTTATCCGCATATGCCTCGCAATTTTTCGTTGGGGGGCGAGATCAGAAGCTGGCAAGATTACACCCTCTAAAGGACCTTCTGGGTTTGTGGCGAGGGCCGTCTGAATTTGCTGGATCTCTGCCTCAAGCCTGGCCCGGTCATCTTTGGCGCGGGTCCGGTGCAATTCCTGGGCCTTGACCTCAAGAGCATGCTGCAATCGACATTTGTCGCACTTGAAATCTTCGATATATTCAGTTTTGAGTAAACCGTCAAAGCAGGCGCTAAGCGTGGTAGAGCTCTTTTGAGGCACTTGCAAGGTCAAATTTACAAAGGAAGTCTGGTTAGGCTTGTATTGATAGTGGCAAAACAGGCACTCGATCTGGGACTCGAGCTTTCCTTCGAAAGGGAAGCCGTACTCGTGGTCGATTTCTTTGAGCTTGTTGTCGATAATGGCGGGCAACCCGTTCTCAGATCCGTCATCAATCCGCACCTCAACCTCTGCAGGGCTGTTGGGAGAAGTCTCATTGCCTGGTTCTACAGACTCCGGGCCTGGCGACAACTCCGGTATGGTCTTCGCTCGTGATCGTGCTTTAACGCCGGCGTGGTACTCATCGCAAAGCCTTTCTGCGACAATCTGCAAGAACTCCTGCGCATCCTGCTGACTGCGACTGATCCGTGTCCGATAGGCGTACTCAAGAGACTGGATGAAGGGTCGCGCAGATATGGTTTTCTTGTAGATCGGGCGTTCGTTTAGTCGGTCGAGCATCTCCTTGAGAGCTCTGGTGATGCTACCCTGTTGCAGTTCCCTTATCCTGTCCGGCTTCGCATCCCGAGGCATATCATCCGGTGGGGGAAGTTCGTTGTATATATCAGAACCGTCTAGTTCACGCCTATGAAGCTCTCGGATCAGGTAGACACGCAGATCACCAAGCCCTGCAAGTGCCTGCAGCACCGAGTTGATGAAGCAGTCATTGGCGGGGTTGGATAATCCAACAATATTCTTCTTGCGGGAATTATCGTGTGACTCGTCTCCATCGATAGTGTAGTTGGGGCCGAAGACATAGAATAGAGCAATAGCCGCAAGAGATGCTCCCGCCGCATAAGCGGCGACAGTGCTTGATTTTTCCTGCATCACCCCTTATACGTGTCGGGTTGTGTAGCTGAGGAGAGCAGGACTGGGGGACGGAGAGAAGCGGTCGTCGACGTCAATGCTATGGTTGATCCATCGAAAGATGTGCCATGAAGCTGGGTAGTTCAAACAGACACGGAACTCCGGTGCCAAGAAGACGAGCCAAGCCGAGATTTTCCCTCCTACACTTGTATCCTCTCACATATACGCAGCCTTCAGGGGTCCATGGGATCAGATGGTGGGTTTTATCAGTTGTTCGATGGCTATGAGCGGGATAACCGTCAGCAGCAGTTCCCCCATAGAACCGAGGGTGTGGAGAGGGCATGGGGTAATTTCAGGTAGACAGGAGGGGGGCCGCCAATGACAGCGTTCTCACCAGAATAGAGTAATGAGGCGGCTGGTATCCCACTCCAGTGCATGCCAACACGAGAATACTTGACGAACCTATTCGACGCGGTAGCCGCAACGGAAGACTTCTCGTTGGATAGGCGGTAGCAGGGCTGCTTCTCTGTTTTCCTTGGTATTCTCGGATGTTTCTCAGCGCCGAGCGCCCGCTATGCTCAGCGCACCGACGGGAGACTTCGGCGTTTCCCACAGCGGTTCATGATCCCCACATTACTTTATTGGTAATTCATTATGGTTCAACTATTCCGAAGATCTGAGGATCAACGAAGAGATCGCAGTGGTAGTTCGAGACGTCTGCAAAGCTATATTTTTAGGTAATAGGGGATGGTTGCAAGCTTGGAAGGGCTCACTCCTGTCGATAGAGCACGCAAATCCCTTGCTGCCTCCTGTAATAGCATGGCGAGGCTCAGTGTAACGAAGCAATCGGATAATCAAGCTAACAACCACTGCGGATATATGGCAGGTTAGGATTAAGAGCACGAAGTCCGAACGAACCCCACGAGAAACAATAATGATGAGCGGGGGTGCCCGGTGTGATCGGGGTGAGAAGGAGGAGAGGGGCACTCGAATGTTCTATTTGCCTGAGCCTCCGCCTCAGCCCGAGTCACAAAACAAAGGAAACTACCACGCGAACACACTAGCACTTGTACACTTCGTGGGAGCCTACCCCATAACGCATGATATTACTTTAACAACACTTTTTGTTGCCTCTATTCTAGTCAATAGTCTCATATCATAACATGCTAACATCCATAAACCATCGAGATTTCCAGGAAAGCATCGTATCAATCGGTACCCATAATACACGAAAAAATCCTTTTTTCAGAAGCCAGCCTGATTTTGAAGAAGTGCATCATTTAAGCCCGTAGGGACTCGGGCAACGTAGCAACCTTTTCATTGAAAAGATCCTCAGCCTGCTTCCAGACACGGGCGTTTTGCCGGTCCTTCAGCTGGAGCAAGCTAGGGAGCAAGGCCTGGCTGAACATCTCCGAACTCTCACGAGGCAGAAGAGACGGAAGGTGATCGATGCTGATCACACTCAGGCCAGCAACCTGGCTTCCGCCTGCCAAGGTGACGGGAACAGTAGGCTTGTCAAAGGTAGTAGTGATAGAATACACAGGAAGAGGGTTGTGGGGGTTGGTGCTATTGATAAGAAGTTATACAATGGTCAGCGGAATTCCCGAGGTCAGGAATGGGAGCCTTACGTATCAGCGCTCACATCGCAGATGACCGACAAGCGGCGGTTCGGCGATGTAAGAGTCTCTGGAGTAACGAAGGGAGGGATCTGTGCGCTGAGGTAAATGCAGTTGACGAGAATATCGACATCCTCGACGATTTCCCGGAAGGGACCGCCTGCAATAAGTGTTAGTGCACGAAAACAACAAAAAGGCTAAAGACAACTGACCCTTCTTGGTTTCCTCGATATCCCACCGAACAATGTCGGAGTCTGGAATACCCACGTCCTTGGCGAGCTGCACAGCACCACTACCACAACGGCCGAGCTGTGACATTGTCAGAAGAGTTGTTAGATTAGACAAGACGAATAACTCACAGCGCCAATGACAAGAATCTTGGGAGAGCGGCCAGACTGCTTCTTACCCTCCTCGAGGGACTTCTTGACCGACTCGATAAGGGCATCCTGGTTGATGTACGGAACCTCACCAGGCAAAGGCTCGCCCTCAGGGTGCGTCAACTGCCAAGCCCAGTTCTTAACAGCCAAAGCGGAACCGGCATAACCGGCGGACCAACCGAAAGCTAAAGCATAAGATCAGCTGCTGTAATGGTACATATTCATGCATAGTTCTTACCAGCGACTCTCCGACCGACATCATCGGTGAGGAATTCAAGGTCCAAGAGAGTACCACCTCCCCGAGGCCAGCGGCTGAGGACCTGCTCCCAGCCGCCCTGCTGCTTGTAGCAGTGTGCAAAGGAGATGTGAACGTGCTCCAGGGGGAAATCATCCTCAGGGAGCTCCTTGAGACCCAGAACGTAGGCATCCTTGGGGGCATCCTTCACCCAAGAACCTTCCTCCACCAGCGGCGCGCCAATCTGTAAGTTGGGAAGGTGAGATTCCGTACGAACAAAAGGGTGACGTGCTTCTACACGCATACCTTGGCAAAATCTTCGTCTAGAAAGAGATAATAATGTTAGACAGGTTCACAAAACCGAGTGTAGAGATGGAGAGCATTAAAGGATACAGCTGCTAACCAGCCGTAGTGGCCCCTTAAAACGTCATTGAAATTATGGATTAAGAAAGGTGTCCCTCTTACCATCAAAAATCCGCTGGGTGGAGCGCTCGACAGTCACTTCATATCCAGCATCCATAAGAGCCTTGCAGGTAGTCGGTGTCACTGCACCATATTAGCATACTAGAGTAATATGCAATTGGCTTTGAGGTCCAATGCTCACAGGCAGACCGAGCCTCGGCGGGCTTGGTTTCGGCACGCAGCCAGATCTTGTTGGAGGACATGTTTGTGAGATGGCAATTGGGTGTTATCTGCGTGAAGTTGATGTTCAGAATCAGAATTTTAAAGTTCTTCGACGAGAAATTAATGCTATCGCTGCTGGACCTATGACACAGACTTGCCCCTCTGGTGATAGCGGGGAAGAAGAGTGGTTGTTCCGTCCCGGAATGTGACTCAGCGTGCACTGTCATCGCCGATTTCGGCGATTTGAGATACTGCGATTACGAGAGGTCAGCCCTAGAATATGCCTCGAATAGCAGTGCCAGAGATGGCTACCATAGGGTTGATCTCAATGGCATAGAAAACAGTTTAGCTTATCATGCTAATCAAGTTCATATTCTGCTATTCGAAGCAATTGATACTCTCATACACAAGAGGTGTCCTAAATTCCCGTCTGTTTTCCGACAAGTGCCATCTTGATGAATGTCCACTCCTAACGTCATTGAGACAAACAATCGGAGGCTTTAAGGAGCAACCTTAGTGCGACTGCGTGTTCGACTACTGATACCATCCGTCGGGGGCTCTCTTTTGACAGATTCCTTTGCAGTTTTGGATCGCCCACTCTTCTTGTCCCCATTTGTAGTTTGGCCTTTCTTAGTGTGCTTCGCAGTCGTAGGAAATGGCGGTGCGGTCTCCGGCCCATTTTTCTCTGCATCATTCCTCTTCTTCTTCTTGGTTGCAGGCTCCTTGGCATCATCAGCGCCAGTTTTACCCGCTTCCACTGTCGCGGGTGTCGCCTCGTGCTCCCGCTTCTCACCCACATTCGACTCAGTAACAGACTCCTTGGGAGTTGTATCTACAGATGTGGGAACCTGCGAGCGGGGTTCTGTCTCATTGGTAGATTTCGCGTCATCAACGGTCTTGGTGTCTGGAGTAGGCTTGTTCTCCTCAGCGGGCTCAGTCGCGGAGGATAGTTTCGCTGGAAGATTGGCGCCATTTGTTGGCTCTTGTTCTTCTGAATTGTCAGTACATGACGTCTGGAGCATGAAGGAGGGCCGGAAGAGGAGAAACCACAAGGCGAGAAGTATATAGAACCGGACCTTGACATACCTGATGATGTGTTGGAGTGATTACTAGGTTGGGAAACCATAACTGCCCGCAGTTGCTGGATAAAGCGGGAAATGGTGAAGTTTCGTCAAAGGTGCCTTCGTCTTGTCTGCAAAACTTGTGGTCGCGAATGATATGCGACTAGTATTCCAATCAATGAATGAAGAAGTAGCCGAAGATCATCTGCTCAGACGGAGCGATTGTTGAGAGAAGGTCCGAGAAGAAGACGAGGTGAGGTTGCGCCGTGACGTTTACTAAGGCACGATCAGGGGCGCTAGCCCGATTCACGCGGAACTCAATCTCGGCAGTCCCCTCTTGCATTCCAGATCGAGAAATGTACAGAACCACTAAGAATTGCACCGATGCTCAGCCCGAGGGGAAGAGATAAGCCCTAGCTGCACCGGGGTTGTTGTTAGAGGTAAGCACGCCAAGAAGAGGAGAAAGCATCCCTTAGCGGCAGGAGTGGAGTCCGATGCGGAGTATTAATGCCGGGAGGAGTTGGTGTTTTGGTGTGACTGTCGCAATGACAATGCTGCTGGCTGGCTGGCAGCGAAACATGGCTGACGAATCTCATCCCCTCGATCTGCGCGCTTCCGTTAGGATCCGTGACGCAAATTAGCCCGGTCAAAGAGCTGCATTGCATGAAAACTTTTCGTAAATTATTCCACAAACGCTGTAGAAGAACGGTTACATCAATCAGGTCCACGCCATGTCTACTCGGAGTAGTCGAGAAAGCAAAGCCTTTTCATCTGCGGATGCTTCATGTTCGACATTCGCTTTATCCGTGTCTGACACGTGCTGCAGGATACCTGCCAGCCATGTGGCATCTCCCCGCTTCCCCTGGTCCATCAAAAGACGGAGCGCGACCGAGCCACTGCGCACAAATACCTCTCGTAGGCCCACCGGCCATGTCTGCAACGTGGGCATATCCTTATTATACACATACCGAAGAAAGGGCTTCGGGTCGGGTACTGTGGGGTGGTAGAGAGCCACTGACGCAGTGACAAAGTCCGTACACACGGTAGCAATCACCCTGGCGTATTCTTCATAGACAGATGCAGACACCACGTTATTATCATTCGGTACTTCCCGACTGACCTGCTGGAACAGGTATTTACCAGCGTGTCGAAGAAGGTTTTTCGTGTCACGTCTGTTATGCAGATCCCCCATGGAGAAATACATATCTCCTACCTGCACGTAGTACCGCATAGCAGAGGACAAGCCACCTCCATATTGATTCTCAGCGGCAAGAAAATCTGTCAGAAGGTTTCTAGCGACACGCTCGGCGAGGCTTCGGCTGATATGGCCATTGAAGGCCCGAAGATCGGCATTGGCCAGCATTTCCAACCAGGTCAAAACAGTATCTTGCATGCCCTCCGCAACCATGAACTTCACCAAGGTGGCAGACGTCTGTCGATGATCAAATATCTTTAACCGATCTCGCCAACCTGAGGCAAGCCACCAGTTGACAACTTTGGTCGCTGCTTTGGAATCTTTCATAGCCTTGACAAAGTCATCGCCGGTACCTCTTGCAAGCATTAACTGATACTGCAAGCATTGGAGAAGGTCGCCTTTAGTGACATGCCCTGCCGCTGCCAATTCGTCGAATACCACCATGGGCTCTGTCAACATTCTTCGTTGTTTCGCATCGCGCATGCCCGACGCATTACTGGAGATGGGGGAGGCCGAGGGGGCTACCCGGAAAAGTGGGTTGTCCAAGATGTTGTGGAGAAGTCTATCAGTCGCATGAGCAGACGAATGGGAATTTTCTGGTGGATTCTCGGCAGAAGCTCCATTACGGTCGGATGTAGAAGGGTTGTTGGTCGGATATTCACGATCGAGCTGGCGACGGAAGGAGGATGTGATGGCATTGAGGAGTTGCTCGGACTGACGAGGGGTGCGGGGAAGCGGAAGATGCAATTTAGACCAAGGATATCTGACGGCCGGGGAGGCCCTCATAGTGGAAGAATTATCACACAGCGCGGCGCCTGTCGCAAAAAGCAGCTAGATAATGGTAAATGAAGGCTGTCGACACTGGCTGGACCCCTTCTGCTGGGGACAAGTCCCGGGCTGCGCCTTATCCAGCAAGTCACGAGCGATATTGGCCCAAAACGACGGGCGGTGAGCAAGGGCTGCCAGTGCCACCTCACCACGCGATTAGCCTGGCTGTGAATTGGAAGGGAGCTGAAGATGATCTATCCCTCAATTGAGTTGACTGGTCGCCCAGTCGGAATTTGAACAGATGTAGGATAAATACAGTGTGGAAGGTGCCGGACCAACATGAATCTGAAGGAACACATGCCTGGCTTAACTGATTTCCACATCACCATCGTCATAATAACTAGCAGTAAGTAGTGATGACGAAATCATCGACAGAGCGAACCCAAAGACTCGGAACGCCCATCAGGCGAGGTGGTACGAGGTAAGTAACAAACCGATTGGTAGAGAGAGAGCAGTTCTACCCCAATAATGAGCAAAAAAAAGCAACTTCATTTCCCATCTACTACAATCGCACCAGTAGCACTGTACGTAGCTACGCAATTAAGTCAGTTGGCAAAGTAGTACTACTACTACTCCGTAGTTATCCCAGTGATCGGGTTGGTAAATTGGAACGCGGTAAGGTAAAGCAGGTAACACTGCCCAGGACCGCATGCTCGCTAAAAACGGGGCGCGGGCAACCAACGCGACCGACCGAAAGTCGCCTTCTCTTCCCCTTCCGTCCCATCCACACCTCGAACCCCATCCATTCAATGAACTCGATCTGCTGCTAAGTAGTAGTCTTTCCCTACTAAACTTTCTGCACCTCCTCCCCCTTCACCTCTAATTATTATTTCCTTTTTATCTTTTCTTGTGTCTTTTGCATCCTTTTTTTATCTCTCGACTCTTTCGGTCTCTTTCTTCTCCTCTTTCCTCCCTCCCAAACCCAAAATCCTGGCGGTCCTTGTGTGCCCTTAGTGGTTCTGGTGCTGACCTCTCTCGTGAGGCTGCATCTCATCATTGCTACCGTACTAAGTTACGACCTTTTTACCCGCTTTTTCTTCCCACTAGCCGCACCTTGATTTCCTCCCTTCGTCCACGTTGGGTCCTCTCCGATTCCTTCATCTTACTTCTCCATACGGGAGAACCATAAATACCAATAACAGATATGTCTGAAGTTCAAACAAGGCCTTCTGCCTCTCGTGGCAGGGTATCTACCCGTGGTGGCCGTGGCGGCTATAGCTCCAGAGGTGGTCGTGGTGGTAGCAGATCCACAAAGGCAGACAACTCAGACGGCGCACCCACCGCATATGAAGACGAGGGAGAGCTTGGTCAGATGAAGAAGAAATACTCGGACACTCTGCCCATGCTGAAGGAGCTGTTCTCTGATTGGACTGATGAGGATCTGGTCTTCGCTCTGGAGGATGCAAACGGTGACCTTGAGGAGGCAATTGATCGCATTAGTGAAGGTATGGTTTTCATACTGCTACTTGGAATAGCTCAGGGTTCCTGGGTTTTACTGACGCTACTGCTTCTATTCCCACAGGCAATGTCGCTCAATGGGGCGAGGTAAAGAAGAAGACTACGGACCGCAGCCGCCCCAAGACCAAGGAGGTACAGAGCACTCCCGTCGAGACAGTCGCCCCCTCGGTTCGAGGTCGTGGCCGTGGTGGCTTTGAAGGTCGTGGTCGCGCCCGTGGTGACCGTGGTCGTGGAGGTCGTGGTGGTCGGGCCGGTGCTCATACCAATGGAACTCGCACGGAGAAGCCAGCTGTCGCCACTTCGGTCGAGGAGACCACAGCTACGCCTGCGGCTGCTCCTGAGCCTGTCGCGGCTACCAAGCCCGAAAAGACCGCCGATGCCGAGCCTGCTGCTGCAGAAAACGTTGACGATGGCGCCAAGGAGGCACCCAAGAGCAGCGTGATCCCGGAGGGCACAAAGAAGGGTTGGGCTAGCTTGTTTGCCAAACCGGCGCCGCCTCCTCCTCAGAAGAAACCTGCCGCTCCTGCTCCTGCTCCTGCACCTGCACCCGCTCCCGCCCCTGCTACCACCGCTGCCCCTGCCCCCGAGAAGCCTGCTGCTGCGCCTGTAACGGAGCAGAAGCCAGTTGAAACCGCCCCGGCTCCTGCCCCAGCCCCGGCTCCTGCCCAGGCTCCTGTTCCCGTCCCGGTCCCCATCCCCGTTCCTGTCCCTGCCGAAAAAGCACCCGAACCAGCTATTCCTCAACCTCAACCGGCCGCAGAAGAAGCTCCTGCCGCTACTCCATCTTCCGCTGATGTCCCCGCTCCGAAGGATGATTTGACGAAGAACAACCTTGCCCAGATCCCCGATGTCTCTCCTCCTGCTCCCACGGCTACCGCAGCTAGCACCGTGGGCAGTGCCCTTGACTCTACCCATCTTGCAGCGGCTGCCACTCCCACGCGCGCTGCTCCTGGAACTTACCCTTCGAGTGCCTTCAAGCAGAGCACCCGCACCCCTGGCACTCAACGTCGTGTGATGGAACAACAGGAAGCTGTGGTCATGCCAGGAAACCATGCTGTGGATCGTGCTGCGGTCCAGTTTGGCAGCATGGGATTGAACGGCGATGCCGCCGATGTTGATATTGATGAGAACAGAGAAGAAGCTGAAACCCGTGCTCAGCCCCCTCAGCACTCCCCTGTTGCTCCTCGTGCCTCGTTGCCTCCTTCCACACAGGCTCAGGTGCCCACTGAAACCCCTGCAGTCGCTCGCCCGGCTCCGGGACTTCCTCCCGTGCCCCAGGTCTCTGCCGCTGAAAACTCCTTCACTGACTTCGCCCGCTACACCGACGCTCATAAGCCCTACGACCCCTTCACCCAGCAGGTCACGCAGCCTCAACCTCAGATCCAGGAGCCCTTTGCCAACCAAGCTCCTGTGCAGCCTACCGTCACGACCGGGAGCGAGTATTCTCCCTTCTATGCCGTCGACCAACGTCTTCCCTACAACTACTACGGCACGTACGGTCAGTCTCAGGATGCCACGGTCGCTGCCCAGAGAGCAGGATTTGGTGTTTCTGGCGCCGAAGTGCAACCGCATGTTCCTACCACTCAGCCTCCTAGCCGCTACGGCCATGTTGAAGCTCCTAACAGTGGCCACACCACTCCTAACCCCACCCTTCCTGGCGCTACTCAGACCCCTACGGCTCAGCACATGCCTGGCCAGGGCGCTCACAGCTACGGCTACGGATACCCGTACTACTCCAACCCTCACTATGCTTCGTACATTGGCCAGATGAACCAGTACGGCAGGAACCGCCCGATGTACGATGATGCCCGGAGATATGATGACCACTACCTTCCTCACAGCACTCAATATGGTTACGGCAGCCAATATGGCCCGTACGGAAAGGCTGGAATGTATGGTCAGCCTCACGCCTTCTCCTATGACCACTCCTCGTCGCCCGCTACAGCGGCCACCTTCAACCAGGCCATTCCCGGTCGTGACTCGGTCTACGGCCGCACTGGATCCGCCCAGCCATCCGAGACTCAGCAGTCGGCAGCCGCCGGCTCCAATGCCTTCGCAACCGGCATGTCGGACGTCTTCGGTCGCACTCAAGGCGGCTTCGGACAGAACCAGCCTATCACCCAGCAGCCTCCGGTGACCACGGAGGAGACGAAGAGCTTCGATACCCCGAAGGCTGCGGGACCCAGCCCTTCTCTTGCCCAGGCTAACCGTCCCGGCTCCGCGACCAACAGCGCCGCTGGTCAGCCTCAGGCCCAAACCGGCCTTCCCCCGCTGCAGGGTCAGCAGGGCCAGCAGGGATTCGGTGGCTACCCTCACCTGAACCCTCAGTATGGCGGATTGGGTGCCCTGGGCGGCCACCAGGCTGCAGCCAGCCAGACCCACCACCAGCCCACTGGATACGGTAACTACGGCGGCGCAGGGTTTGCCAATTACTATGGTAACTCTGGACGCGGCGGCTGGGGAGGCAATTACGGTCACTAAAGGATTATGGCGTTGCATCTTTTCCGGGTGATGAGATTCCTATTGGCTCGTTTCTTTTTCTCTTTTACCTCGGGCGCGGCAAGCCCTGGATTGAAAACCTATCTCTTATATTCACTTGTTAACACTTTTTCCCCTCTATGTCACTCTCAAGTGTGTAATCTTTACTCTCAATGAGAGCTTGGCTGGTTTTACATCTTTGGTTGATCTTTTCTGCAGGGTTGCGCTCATGATGTATTGAATGGAAAAAAACGTTATCGCTTTGTTTTTATTCTTACTTATGTTGCTTGTTCACGGTTTACGACATTTGCCAGTGTCTTCCTATTATATTCAGATGATTTTTTTTTCTACGCCACCTTTATCTCCTTTGCTCTCCGGCTTTTGCCCCTTCTCGATTCGGTGTCTGATGAAAACCTTTCCATGGTCTCTCTTGCTCTCATCTACCTTGCATACTTTCCGCTTCCTGTACTACTTACTTTGGGTTCGGTTGGGACATCGTTCATGCAAATTGGCTGGATTAGGACAAGGGATGGGGGTTAAAGAATGCAAAGAATTGACTGGGACGGCGTTGGACCTTGCTTTTTCTTCCGGTGTACAAAAAGTAACTCACTATAGAGACGGTGACGAGGGAAAAGACACAATGGAGTAGCGTGTGCGTTCCGAGCCTGAATCCGGGTCTTTCCCGACACCGTAACCACGACCGTAGCTGTTGACTTGGCTTGTGCTGGGGCAGATGTAGTCTTCAGCTGACAAGTCCGATTCTTGACGGTGATTCCTTCGGATCCTGCCTACATAGCAACGACCCATTCTCACACAGGCTAGTGAAGTAGTACGCGCCTACATGATATATAAGGAGGGCCTCGATGGCCTGGTACTGCAGAGGTATCTAATGGTTTTTCTCCATCGGCTTTATCAACTTACACATGTCATACGAATGTTAAATTTCACTGCTACTATCAAATTAGATGTGCTGGGGGAAAGGTCAATTGTATTCATGCCCAGTAGGAAGAGGATGAAAGGATTATAAAGTGAATCTAGTTTATATCTCTTTCCTTCACCGTCTATGCTGAGTGTTGATGGGGAAATATCTCTGAAATCAAACCAAATGGATACCACCTATATTGAAGCTGCTATGGCAAACCTGCTAATATACTCGATCATGTAGTCACTTGTAGATGAACTGCTGACCGGGAAGTCGGTTAATACAGTAGTAGGTCTAGAACTCTAGCAATGCCCTAAAGGTGCAGTAACTAGGCGTACGCACACACATACATACAAGGTGGCTCTCATTCTATTGCCTAATTCGATCATGTCCATTGAAGTCCGGTAAGTTCCTTCATCGCAGCCTACTATCGGGTTGCCCGGGTGTCAACTGGTATTATTCCCGGGAGTTGCCTCGTTGCACATATCCAGTGCCACGGAATCTCCCACTCGCATGCTAGTACACAAGCTTAACATGCCGCTTTCCCTACTGCCCAAGTGGCTATATATTGAATGCCCCTTCCATTTACCTTCCCACCAACTCAACTGTACACCAGGCGTAGGCCGTGACAGCAGCACCACTTCCCCTGGAGGAAGACCTTCACCCCATTCCCTTCACTTCACTTCTAACACTTTACCCCCATCACTTATCCCTGTTCCCTTGCCCATTCACTTCCTGCCTCTCGCTTCCCTTGGACTCGCACTTTCTCCATTCCTTCTCCGCCTTCCCTCCTTTATAATCCCTCTCCTCCCTCCTCCCAGATTCCAGCTCTCTTCTTTCCTCAACCTCGCCTACTCATCGCTCTTTTACCCATCCATCTGTCTACCCCCATCTTTCCTTAGGCGGTTACGCCCATATGCGACACTGCCCATACGCAACAAAGCCCATACGCAGCACCGCCTAAGGCTGCCCACTGTAAATCCCCCCTACCTGGCTTCAGCCATCATCCAGAGACACCCTGTTGGAGACTTCCTCCAGTCAGGTAAGTTTGAAATCTGTTTTCAAAGCTACTCGTCTCTGAACCTGCTCGATGATGATTCCTCCCCAGGGTCTTGCGTGCCTGGTCTTCTGAGAGCAGGTTACTTTTCTTCTTCTATAACCCCTCTGCTTGTCAAACCCTTTCTTTCTCACCCACGCGGTGCCTGTTCTGAGCCAAAGTTTGTTGACAATCGGGCTCTGCTGAGCAGCAGTCGGGGGCCTATTCTGAGGCTTTCAGAGCTTTCTAAGCTTGAGAGACGTTCAGTCAGAGCTATCGTGAGGTTCACATCTACTTCTCGGAGCCTTGAGGTGGTTTCAAATCATCCGCCTCCATGACGGTGATCATCTGAGAGGGATCTTCCCTCGGAATATTGAGCCATTCGTGGCTATATCATCTCTCCACTCCTGGGAGTTTTTGTGAACCGCAAGATTTTTGGCAATGATGATAAATCCACGCTGGATGAGCACGGGTTATTTTATGCCACTGTTCGGGTCAGCCTAGATAAGTCTCAGGTTGTACTTTCCCCGTCAGTTACCACGCCTCGGATGATGATATTCATAGGGCACCCGGTTGGGGTCCTTCTGAGGGGCAATCACATTCCCTGATTTCCCTTAACTTGTTACCCTTTTGCTTCTTATTTGGACATTATCTTGCCTTTCCCAGTCTTCCATTTCCTGAATCTTCCCATATTACCTGCACATGGAGAGGCAATGCTGCTATCAGTCTAGGTCCCAATGATTCGATGGAAGAAAATGTGGGGGCTAGGAACAAGGGTGGGCGCAGCTGAAAACACACAACAAATACACTCGTGTGACCTTCATTGGTCCTATTCAAAGCACTGAATGGGCCATGCTCATGATCAAGGTAGTACTCCCATCATTGGTGTGCTTACTCGGTTGTTTCTAACGTCCGGCTTTCGTTACCTAGGTCTTGTCGAAAATTCCAATTAAAGCCGATCGAAGATTGTCGATGAGTTAAGTGTTCTAATTGGCGTTATGGATGCAATTGGAAGATGGCGAAAAGTAATGTTGGACTTGTTGTTTGGTCACTTTTGTTCAGTTCCTTGGTGTCTGCGAGATCAAATTCTGGGATCTCTTCTACTGGGCTATTGTTGCGCCATTGCATTCGTGATTTCCTTCTTGTACCTAAATCTGAGTCACTCTTGGGTGTGCCGGGCTACTTCTCCTTTCCAATACCAATCTTCTACCAGTGACGAAGTATACCCGCAGACCTTGTAATGGGGCAATGGCGCCTTCCTAAAATGACCAAATGCTCTTAACAATGCACCAAGCTCCTCCTTGTACACAAAACACATTGCCGCTATAATCAGCATATGATCATAAAAGCTACTCTTCTTCTCGCGGCAGGGTGCGATGTGAGCATCCTGGCACAAGGTGCTATGATACCACTTCAAGGTGACCATGGATGTCAGTTAGTTCTATGTTTCCTCGCTGACTGTTTGGGGACTCGTTCGGTTGGCCCAGGGAGGTGCTGAAAGGAAAGTGGCTATGTACCCTTTCTAGGATATATACATCTAAGTATCCAACACGCCGAACCAAGACACGCGCGCCCTCATAGCGAATAAGTAGAAAAAGGATACAAGCAATCAACTAATAAAACGGCTCTCAACGGAGGGGACCCATCATAGATCAAGTTCCACAACTACTATTCGGTAAAATGCCATTGTAGACAATCCATCCACTCATCTACATTTACCACTTCCTAGCGGCACACAGCGGTATCAAGATGATAAAGCCTTATTAATCAAACTAAGCAGCAAGTTTCAAACAAATCAAGGTGCTGTAGTGTAGTGGTCATCATGAAACGTTGTGGTTTTCCCGCAGCGCCGTTTCGACCTGGGTTCGATTCCCAGCAGCGCCAAAAATTGGCGTGTGTGCTTGATTTGACTTGACTTTTTTTTGGGGTTTTTCTGACTGTCTTTCTGGGTGTGGGATCTTTTAGACCTTTTATTATTTTTTATATTTCAATTTTATTCTTATTTTTATTTGTTTTTACATTTTTTCTTCTTCGGGAATGTCCAATAATTGAATAATAAAACTACGTACATGACCTTGGTGAACATCCTGCTTCCCTCGTTCGTAGAATGTCTGCTGGCTCTCGAGAGAAGTCTGTTGTTCATTGTCAACTGGGATTGTGCAAGGGAAATATCTAGGTAGCATAGAATTTATATCTCTGATTTCTCTCCCAAGGTGCTCGAGGTCGCCAGATAGATGTAGAAATGAGACAGAAAATATTTACAGTCCTAAAGGGAAAGAATATCACGTCCAAGTCATACGGGTAGAGTGGATGGTATGAGGATCGCTTTTATAAAAAGCCTTCAAAGCTTCTTGAGGCCCCGCGAAGGCCCCCCAATGAATAGATTATTGTATGCTTAATTCCCCAGTCATAGGGGAACTACGACATTCCACCTGACCGACTAGGTTCACTCAAGCTCCGGTTCGGCCACTCCAACCACTCAGCCCAGCTCGGGCCTAGATGCCTGCTGATGGACTCGATAAGAAAGCGACCACCATCGCCAAACAACCACAAATGCCGATGCCAGTGTAGAATAACGGCGTAATGAGCTAGAATCACCAGAGCTTCGGGCCGCTGCATTGCCAAGTGCTCGGCATATTCAGGGCTGACTATGACAGGCCAGCCCGTAACACCCCCGATATTTTTCAGCGAGGCCTTGAGAGCTGCATTCATAGACATCTGCAGCGCCTGTATCGCACCCCGATAGGTGGAAGTGATGGAGTCGCCCAGCTTAGCCCCTTCAACGAGCCTCAACAGTCCTGCGCACTCGGGTCCAAGTTTCGTATCCCATTCGAATAAGATTGCTCCGTCTTGAAGCGGTTTCCTGAGGATTGACTCTCGTAGTGATTGCCATGTAGTTGAAGATATCACGACGCGAATACCAATTTGGAGTTTGAGACAACGCACAAATCGCTCTATAAATGTATCGAAACTCGTCTCTTCTCGGTGAACCAAGACGTCACACAGAGTGTGCATGCCGAGAATGCAGGAGAAAAGAAATAGTGGGACATTGCTCTCCTGGTTCACCTCGAGTCTCCTTTGATTGTAAATCTCCAAGGCATGCGTTTGTAGATGGGCTGCATGGCGCCGATACCACTCTCCGTTTTCTGGACGCACTATACTCAAGTGTAAAGCACTCATTGCAAGCATTTGATTGATGAGATAGGGCGTTGAGACGACCATTCGCATCACTTCCGGAGCACCAAGCCAAGCGGTCTCCCCTTCGCTGAGACTGCTGAGAGTATAGTTCACCAAGTTGAAGAACAGCTCAGCGTGAAGCATGTTGACTGGGGGACTGTCAGATAGAGAAGATGGATGTGCAGGCGATCGCAAGGGTATATCATTCGTCACCAGGCCAGCAGGTGACGGGGTTGATGATTTGCTTGACCGCGAATGGGCCGCCCGTATGAACGGATCCGCGTATTCACAGGAGCGTTCCGAAGACCGACAGTTGGAGCATATCGGTTGTTTCTCGTCGCACTGCACATTGTCAGAGGTTGATGCTACATGTGTGCCTAACACTCCCATCAAACTTACTTTTATGTGGCGCCGCTTACATTCTAAGCAGCCATTGCGCGACTTCTTATGTGTCCTACGCGGCATCTTTACGATAATTTGGTCGATTACTGAGAGCGCATCTTCTGGTGCACATGCGCCTAATGTGGCGATGGTGGTGAGTAGTATTGTTCCTGCCTGGCGTGCCTCGTGGTCAAGGATCTCCGCCCATGGCTCCAAATTTAGCGATAAGCTTAAAGTGTGCCCAAACAACAGTCACAACGGGCCCGTAGAAGATTTAGGGTTGCTATTTTCAGAGTTTGGGATGCAGCAGAGATTGGGACGATGAAAGAGGCAAAAGCAAGCAAAGCCAGCATTGGAGGTTCACAAATCCGCGTATGCACAGACCACATCGCCTTCCACTAAACCATATCGGGTAGTATCGCCAGGCACGGATCGAGTCCGATACCTTCGAGAAGGGCTGAGTTCTATACGCGTATCCAGATTCTGCGACTCCATCAAGAAGAGATTGTCCTTTTTCTGAGGTCCAGCCACGTGAAATATGGCATCTAAGAGACATATAAGACCAAGATGGATGCAGGATTCGAGTCCAGTTTCGCAACAATCTCACCTCCATAGCTGGATAACTCGATAGAAGTCCCCGAGTGAAGAGACAAATAACATATTACATCCATCCATCATGGCCAAGCTGGAACCCTATGTGCCAGGCTACTACCTGTGGAGCTACATGCCGTCCATTGCGGCAGCAGCTATCTTTCTCGTCCTCTTTCTGGGGGCCACCGGAATCCACTTCTTCAAGCTATTCCGATCCCGAGCATGGTTCAACATCCCCTTAGCCATTGGCGGCATCTGTATGTGTTCCTTGATACGATATATGCACCCCGCAAAAGAAAGCCTTATAAACTAATACAGAGCGCAGTTGAGTTCATCGGATTCATCGCAAGAATAATCTCGCACTTCCATACAGCGGAGCTCGGGCCTTACTCCATGCAGAGCGTGCTCATCCTCCTCGCTCCTGTTCTCTTCGCCGCATCTGTGTACATGACGCTAGGTCGGATCATTCGGAGCGTCGACGCAGAGCAATACTCTATAATTCGTCTTCGCTGGCTGACGAGGGTCTTCGTCACGAGCGATATTCTTGCCTTCCTCATTCAAGGCAACGGAGCGGGCTTGCAGGCGGTGGAGTCCATGCAGACCTTATCCAAAGTCATTGTTATCGTTGGCCTTATCTTCCAAGTGGGAATGTTCGTTTTCTTCATCATTGTCTCGGTTGTATTCCACAAGCGTATGCAAAAGCGTCCGACATCCGGAGCACAGTCATCGTGGGAGTATCACATGCATACGCTCTTCGCGGTCAGTGGTCTCATTCTGGTTCGGTCAATTTATCGTGTTGTTGAGTATGTGATGGGGTATGACGGCTACCTCCTGACACATGAGTGGCCACTCTATGTCTTCGACTGTGTGTTGATGTGGCTCGTTATGGTAATTTGGGCTGCGAGGTATCCTGGTGATATCCAGACAGGGAAGCCTGAGATGGAGCTCCTTGCGACACGGAGCGATGATTATACGACTGTATGAGTTTTACTTACTTTGTACATAGATTGTTATGTGTTTTCAAATTTTTTCTATTATTGGGCACAAGCCAGTCATACATTGTGAGTTGTAGACCGTAACAAAAACGCTTAAATGATCGTGTGCACCTGCATTATCCTCAGCAGAAGTACTAATTCACCAACCGAGCATACTTTGCAAGACCTCATAGCTGAAAGACGCATGAGGAACATGAATAGAAGCAACTTCTTGAAGAGCACCGACAGGCGACGAATGGATCCAATGTGTAAAACCTATCATACACACAAAAAGAAAAAATAAACGAAGCCAACAGATGACTGCTCCGGCTACGGAAAACCAACCCACAAGCCATGAAAGAGAGGACATTTTCCGACCCACAGAGCCATCGTGATCCCGTCTGAAGGTTCTCGACCCCTGCATTGACCAAAGAGTATTTGGAAGCAGCAATTACTGTATATAGAACAGTCTACATCTCCCCCAGAAGAGCCCCATATATCCTCAACTTGGTACTAGCAAAAGCACATCCACTGATGTCCATTCAGCTCTTCTTTGCTAACTGCTTACTGAATAGTCTAATGGACGGAAGTTACGATCTGCATTCCTGACATCCAGTCTTAAGCCGGTTGGTAGTGACTATCAGACGTCCAAGACCGCTTAGTTGTATCGAATTTTCCCAAATATTGGGTACCTCGGGGTTTATCCTGTTTCTATTATCCAACACGGCAGAACGCGTGAAGGAAAACATTAATAGTCATTGGATTCTGTGTATGTCTGACTGACTGACAACATTGAGTGACTTCCTGGCATCAACGATCGCCATGACAGGCCCTGTGCAGAATTGACATCGACTGACGTCTCTCAAAATGTGGTAGCTTTCAACGGATCAAGATCCAAATAACAACAAGGTTGGATGCATGGCCTGTGCAGGAACCCAGGTTCTTCTGTTCTCAGTAGTGCTGACGACGATGACGATGGATCAGGACCCGCTGGCCAGGGCCAGGGGTGTTCATCGCATCCCAAATGTTGGGTTTCTCTGATAGAGGTAATTTCAATAAGGTTTGATGGTCAGACAATGACTGATTCAAGAAGCGAGTGGCGTAACGGACCGAAGGCTGATCCGAGGTAGACAGCCCGAGACTATTGAATCTAGTATTGCCCCGTTGGGAGGATCAAAACGGGGAGAAACCCTAGTCAGTGATAATGCGGGTTCAAATTACCAAGGGTTATTAAACAAATTCTCATTACTCCGTTGCGCGAACTGCATCTTTCCAATGTTGCTGGGATTCGCTGATTATCCAGCCGTCGTTACTGTTCTATATACAGGTGCCGAAACATCTCCACCAAAGCCAAATAATAGATCCTGTTATGAAAGCAAACGTACTCTATAGTGGCACTTGTTCATGCCATGTTCGCCAGATCACTCGTCCACCCGGAATATAAAAGAGGTTGATTAAACGCAACGTGTATATCTGCCGACCGTCGACTCATTTCATGCAGTAATTCCCAGACCCTCGCCGCCGGTCTTGTGGTATGGGGGCTTGGCGTCCGCAGCGCTGGTAGGGTCGAACCGCCAGACACCGCCGGTCTTGTCGCTCTCCAAGGACGTAACGCCGATCATTCTCGCAAGTCGCCAGAATTCCTCATCGTCGGTGTCATTGACACGCTTGAAGAAGCGTCGGTCCCACTCGCGGCCTTCCGACTTCTCGACCTTGCGAAGCTCGCGCTGGGCGTTCTCGATCTTCGACTTGGCCACGGACACGGCATCCATATCGCCCCGCTCGATGCCTGCCGCAACGTCGCGCCATGCCCGCCGGCTCTCATAGAGGTCTTGCTGGTCGACGGGCGCCAGAGTCAACGGGGTGGTCTTCGTGTCCTTGACGGAGAATCTATCCACCTCATGCTTGCGGGAGTCTTTGATGACGAAGGAATCCGACCATTGTCCGTCAACAGTGTACAGAGGCTTCTTCTCGCCCTCGTTTTCCTTGAAAAGGATGGCACTGAAGGTGTTCTTCTTGCCACTCAGCCAGCCCTTGCCAGAGTAGTCAATCTTCGCCACGTAGCCAGTGCTGCTGGCAATGCGAGTCGACTTCTCCAACTCGACAAACGGCGTTCCGTAGATAAGGGATTCAATGTGCAAGTGCGGGAGGGTGATCAGGTACCGCTCCTGCTGAGAAGGATCGTTCTTATCCGCACCCGGAGGAGTGAGGGTCAACAGGGCATGTCCGATCTGTTTGATTTGGATGGTGCTGGAGAAGGATGCCTTCTGGGCATTGTATCCTTGGAGCTACAATGTGAAATTCATAATCAGAGCCACGTCGTACATCGAATCTTGGATGGCTACATACCTCGACGCCGTGCTTCTCGTTTCGGATAGCATAAGCAGTAGCAGGGGGATGGTGGCTGAAGCAGTCAATACGATCCAGATGCAGAGTGGGTACAATAGTACCACCTACCTGACTTGCTCACTGATCAAGGTGGTCTCGCCCACATCCGCATCGGCATCCCATTTGCCAAGGAACAACTCTCCCAGGAAAGGGTTCAAGGGCTTCTTTTCGCTACCGAGCTTCTCACTGCGACTGCAGTACTGCTGGTGAAGAGTGCTGAGGAACCACTTCAAGACGGCCAGAGCTCTCTTCTCTGGATCCGCTTCTTTTGCGGCAGCCACAAAGAGGCCTGGGTGTTCGGCCCAGTAGGCAGAATATTCGGTCAAGGAGGTGGACGAGAGAATAAAGGGCGGGGCGGTCAAGGAAGAAAGATCTCCGTTGAAGGAGGCGATAGACTGAAGGAAGGAGCCAGATCGGTTAGCCAAGCTCCGTAAAGCAATACGAGTTTAGACAGTCTAGGATGTGGGACCAATTGCCTAGAAGAAAATCGGTCGTTCTCAAACTTCATACCTTAAGGAAACTTGTCCAGGAACCTTTGCTGTGGGCGGGAACGCCGGACGCTGAATCCTTGCTGGAACTCATTTTGCAGATGTAAAGACAATATCTCGACTACTGATTTGGTACAAAACCGCAGGACTGGCTAAGAATAAGCCCTGGGAGGACGGTAGAGAAAGAATGAAGCGGGGAAGAGAGAAGGAAGAGGGGAGAGGCACAGGAGGGAGACAGATGAATATGTCATGGGGAGGGGAGAGTGGAAGAGGAAAGCGGCCGGAGGGCGATCGGGTCACCCACCAAACCGAATTCAAGCCACCCGCGCAGGGGGTCAGCTCTTTCGACGTCATGGGTGGCTGAGCTAAGCTCTGCGGATGTTCTTGTCCTGCTTGCTTTCCCAGGGATAGGGATGACTTCCAAAATCAAGGGATGAATAACAACAATGGACTGAGTTTCTGGATGCCAGCCTCATCCTATCACCGTATTATTTGGGTGGCTTTTCATGTTCTCGACTCGCGTGCCACTTGCGTCTTAGCTTCGTGGCGGAGATTATATTAAGCCAGCCACTCCGTTAATCCTGGTGTGCCTACTACGCAGTGGAGAATAACTGAATATTAAGATGTAATAACGGGCGGGCAAAGAAAAAGAAAATGAGGGAAGAGGAGGGGGCAAAAAGCAATTATAACAAGATGTGCAAAAATAGACCGCAAAAGAAATCCGTGACTGTTGTGCCTACAATAATCCTCTACTCTCCACCATTACCCCTGATCTCGTGATAGCTTATCAGTTGACTTGGCGACCGAACTGTGGCTGGAAGTTCCCCAACAGCAAAATACACTCTGTACTGATCACATCACTAGACTTTACCCTGGCATATCAAATTGATTGCTGGGCTTGTATAGTTGAATTTTAGATACGACATTCTGCCTTTACTCTGCCATACCGGGCGCCGTATGTTATCTATCTGTCACTCAACTTGATTGCAACTCCATCGATTATCATGCTCAGCATGACCATTGGGTCAAGGTTGCCTGAGTGGATTGGAACTGACTGCAAGCTTCTTACACAGTGGTCCCAAGGGTAGCCTCCACCACCGACCGGATGAGTGGAAGTGAAAGGCTTTCCCAGGGTTGAAGCTTGACGAAAGCGGAAGGTTGACCTCCTCATTGTTGAAACCTTGGGATGTTACTGTGGAGGGTCCGCCTTCTCGGTCAACCACCTTCATACGGAATGAGACCGGGCTTCGAAGGCCTCGATTTCTGCCACCTGTATAGGTGGACACCCACGCACATCCTCATATTGATGGATCTTGTGCCTTTCCCCTGAGGCCTTCGATCAGATCAACACCGTCATTCGAAGTCATCGATCGTTAGCAGCTGATCAAGTAGCCCTACAACCAAGAGACTGTCAATGATTGCCAAGTAGTACGAAACCAAGTTATATTGAAGTGGGCGCGATCGACCAGGCAGGAAGCACGAACTTGTCTCTCAGCTCTCCTGAGTCGTGTGAAGTCCCCAGTCTCCACTGTGGCCCTAGTATCTGGCCCGATTACTGGGTGTTCGACACGAGAGCTGCCGTACCCCGGACGCTTTTGAGTTTTTGCAAGATTGCTGAAATAACTTCTGCCATCTGGAAAACTCTGTGCAACGATATTATGGATTGGGTCATTTTTAACATGCTATTGAACTTGGCTGTTGATTCAAAATGGTTTACACGCCGTTGGCTGTGCAGGAAATCGTTCCTGGCGCCCCTGTGCAGATCGGGTTCCCACCTCCGCGGAAAGCTAAGGTTCCCGGCTTTTGCCCCAAGCTTATAACTAGTTTCTCAAGCGTGCTCGGCGTCAAAATGGCCATGAGCATCAATGGTCTAGCGGCTACCAAAGTTTGATCTGAGCTAAACTTGTATGTGGATATTGCAGAAGGCTCTGCTCTTACTTCTCTGGGCGATTAAGTGTTTTTAGGGGCTGTTAGTCTGACAGTCTCGCCCTCTCACCGACGATAGTTGCGCTGAAAAATGGAGTCGTGATACTCCACGTGTAGTCGAGACTCTCTGCCTTTTGCTGGCCAGGTTTCTTAAATCTGCTGGTGGCTCCATGGTACTAAAGCATTTTTTTGGATGCTTAACCACTCATTGCTGTACAGTATCTAGGTGTCTGGGTGCTATGGAGCCCCATCCTCTCATTTGATTTTGATCCATCACAAGTTCATCTAGATACACTCTTTCCTTATCATCAATCGACCTTTTCCTTGCATAATGTACTTCATGACTTTATACATTCGCTCTGAAAACCAAGCAGAATCATCTCAACAGTAACGGAAGCCTTTTCTCCGTGTCTGGTGCGACACAAGTCATTCAAGAGTGACTTTGAACAGCGTCAACGACCAAGCAACATGTTTGACCAAAAGTTCTTGAATTCGTCCTCGACACTCGTCGTCCCTAATGGACGTCAGAGCTCCAGACATGAGCATCGACCGCCTCTCAACTCAACCATTACACTCATTCAAGCCACCACTCACGACTCAGATCGTACTTTGCCTCATGAAAGCATCCCCGAAGAAGTCCATGACGATCAGTACAACCGGTTCTCGCCTACTCGAAAAATCATTGTCGTTATCATCCTTTCATATTCTGCTATCCTTGGACCCATATCCTCCACTGCCATCTTAGCCTCTGTCCCCGAGATCGCCAGAACATTCGAAACAGACGCAGATATTATCACTGCCAGCAACGCTCTTTACCTAGCTTCCATGGGAATCGCTGCCCTCCTCTGGGGTCCTTTAAGTCAAATCTCGGGCCGCCGTCCGGTGAGTGACATCCGTGCATTCATACTGTTCCTCTAAACCCTAATAGCTGCTCTCTTAGATCCTCATCGCTAGTTCAATACTATTCTTTCTTTTTACCGTGGCCACAGCGCTATCCCCCAATCTAGAAGCCTACTTTATCTTCCGCATATGTGCCGCGTTTCAGGGAACTGCATTTCTAGTGCTTGGAAGTGCTACCGTGGGCGATATCTATGAGCCAATGTCTCGTGCCTTACCATTGGGATGGGTATTGTCAGGTAGTGTGACCGGGCCTGCCCTTGGTCCCTTTCTAGGTGTATGCCTCATCCTCGACGTATGATTCACCTATCTGTGCTCAGCTGACACCTTCTAATAGGGAGTCGTGGCTACCTTCCGCCCATGGAGATGCATTTTCTGGCTGCTTGCTGCATTAAACGGCTTCGCAGCAGTCCTCATCTTGATATTCTTTCCGGAGACCATCAGTCACAAATTAAACACCCATTTCAAAGGGAAGAGTCTGCCTCAGCAAACCAAGCAACTATGGAGTCACATCTCCCCCCTTCGCATTGCGCGCTTGGTCTTTTCTTACCCGAACATTTTCCTCACTAGCCTTACTGCCGGCGCCTTAGTGTGGAATCAATACGCCCTTCTCACCCCCATTCGCTACGTCCTCAACCCTCGCTTCCACCTTGAAAGCCCCATTGAAGCCGGCCTCTTCTACCTCGGCCCCGGTGGTGGCTACATATTTGGCACCTTTTTTGGTGGCCGTTGGGCCGATCTTGTGGCTCGAAAATACATCCGTATCCGCAACGGACGACGTATACCAGAAGACCGTCTCCGCTCTTGCGTCTCCTTCATTCTATTTGCTATTCCGGCATGCATCCTTGTTTATGGTTGGACGGTTGACAAAGAAGTCGGGGGAATACCAGTCCCCGTTGTCGCTATGTTTATTCAAGGGGTAGCCACGATGTTCTGCTTCCCCAGTCTGAATACTTACGGACTGGATGTTATGCAGGAGAGTGGTAGAAGTGAGGAGGTTGTTGCGGCGAACTTTGTTTGCCGGTATATGTTTGCTGCCCTCGGGTCAGGTGTGGTTCTACCTGCTCTTGAGGCAATGGGCGTGGGGTGGTTCAGTACCATCTCGGCGCTGTTGCTGGTAGCTGTAGGTGGTGGCTTATATCTGACCGCGGAGTATGGCCCTCGATGGAGGGAAGCGGTTGATGCAAAGCTCCAGGCTAAGAAGGAAGAAAAGTGGAAAAGGAAGAGCGCCTCGCATGTTTAAATCTTCCGCAACCCATCTGGATCGCCACGTCATAAGCATAATACCCAACTGCATTGATGATTGATCTCGGCCGTGTCGCGACCGATATGACAGTTCTTGGTGGCTTCTTATCATTCTAATGTAAATATCAGAGATTTTAGCGTATTGAATTAATGACTAGGCATATAACATATTTTCGACGGCCACGGTTATTTACTGACTTGTCCTCTCTTTTCTGATAGCTACAAGAGGATAAATGTTCAAGAGTGGTTGATGAATCGGATTTGGCCCCAGAGGAGACTCGGTCATGAATGTTTAGGGGACGGCTTGCGGGGGTACAGAAATAGATCGCGAGGCTGCACAACTCAATCTGTTTTTACTCCGCCGGCACTGATCGTCTCTCGCCCCTCTTTCCCCAACTATTATTGTCTCGTTTCAATCCCCAACCCCTATGTTCTACCTGGTTCCTATTGTCTTGCTTCTTGTTGTATTGCGGCCTCTCACTCCAATCTAACTTGATGGTCCACCTTCGTTTGCCGAGATCTAAATTTAGTCGACTCCACCGGTTCTTATCGATAAACCAAACGCGTGTACACCATCGGCTCTGCCCCTCCTACGGCGCCACAGCTTCGTAACAATTTATCTTGATCCTCCATTCCACTAAGGAGTAATCTCACAATGACTATGACTGGCCTGCAGAAGCAAATTGGTCAGGTATGATATCACCCGGCCTTGTGTTGCCCATCAAGAAACATCCGACTGAACTATGGCGGAGTTTAGCTCTTTGCGGTCGGTTTCCACGGCCTTACTCCGAGCCCAGAAATAAAGACTCTAATCCACGATTATGGTATTGGAGCGATCGTACTCTTCAAACGAAATGTTAGCGATGCAGCTCAAGTCCAGGTAGGTGACCCCCTCTGTGACCATTCATGGCTATCCGCAGTATGCCCGCGCCCAGATTCAGTGACTGATATTTCAATTTCAATCAAAGGCTTTGACGCATGCTCTCCAAGAAGAAGCACGGTCAGCAGGACACGAGCACCCCCTGCTTATAGGAATTGATCAGGAAAATGGCCTTGTCACCAGGGTATCACCTCCAGTTGCTCCACAACTGCCGGGCCCTATGGCTCTAGGCGCCACCAATTCCCCCGAGCTCGCATATCAGGTCGGAGCTGCAACTGGTGAGATATTGAGCGCCGCGGGGATTAACATGAACTATGCGCCCGTCTGTGACATCAATTCCGAGCCGCTCAACCCTGTAATCGGGGTTCGTAGCTTTGGAGATAAGCCCGAGTTTGTGGCCCGATTCGCCAGCGCCAGCGCCCAAGGTCTTCGGGAGCACAAGGTCGTACCTACTGTAAAGCACTTCCCGGGACACGGTGATACCGCAGTCGATTCACACTATGGACTACCTGTCATTCCAAAGACACGAGAGCAACTGGAAAGTTGCGAGTTAGTTCCTTTCCGTCAAGCAGCTAATGAAGGTATCGAGGCAATCATGACAGCCCATATCTCTCTACCTGGCATAGGTGATGGCAAATTGCCTGCCACCTTGTCGCCAGATGTGATGAAAATTCTTCGCGAAGATATGGGGTACGGCGGTATGGTTATTACGGACTGTCTCGAGATGGATGGAATTCGTGCTACGTACGGAACAGAACAAGGCGCTGTCCTTGCCCTGGCTGCTGGATGCGACAGCATCATGATATGCCATACGTATTCTGTCCAAGTTGCTTCGATTCTTCAGGTCTGCCAGGCTGCTGAGTCCGGAAAGATTTCTTCCGCGCGTTTGAATGAGGCTATCCGTCGTGTTAAGGAGCTGAAAAGCAGCTTCCTAAGTTGGGAGACGGCGCTGCGCCCTCTGGAATCGAGAAAAAACTGGCCTGCTCTGGGAACAGACGCAGTGAAACATTCCGCGCTGGCGAAGCAGGCCTATGCTCAGTCTGTGACGCTTGTTCGAGATACCTCACAGATTCTCCCTGTGTCCAGGTCTGCTAATGTCGTTTTCCTCTTTCCTGGGGACCAGACACCAGCTGGAGGTGCAGTGGACGGAGAAGGGCTGGGAAGGAAGGGCTCTTACAACGCCTCCGTTTATCTCAATATACTGAAGCAATACAACCCAACCGTGGTTGAGATCCGATATGGGGCAGCGGGCTTATCGACTGAGCTGATGAGTGCCATCGAAGCTGCCGATGTCGTTATCTTCACTTCTATCAATGCGCGGGAATCACCGTTTCAGCGGACATTAGGCTTGGAGCTGCCTAGCCGGGCCCGTAAATTGATCAGCATCGCCGCCTGTAACCCCTACGACTTCCTGGAAGATGCGTCCGTTGGAACATACATCGCCACCTATGAGCCAACACTTGAAGCATTTGCGGCAGCTGCTGAGGTGATATTCGGGAAATCGGAACCCAAAGGCATTTTGCCAGTTGAAAACCCTACCAGTCAACTGTCTATTAAGGAATCAGCATTGGATAACACAAAAGATATCCTGCAACTGACTGCTATTTGGAATGCTGCGTTGCCTACCTACCCACTTTCCGCTCAGAAGTTGCAACTACTTGTTAACCAGGAGCATGGGCATCATTTCGTTGCTCGCATTGGTGCTGATATTGTAGGATTTGCCTTGACATACACCAGCAATACATCTACAGGTGTTGCTGGCAACATTGCTGTGCTCGCAGTTGATCTCGCAAAACAAGGCCAGGGACTTGGAACAGCATTGATCTCAAAAATCACTGCATGGTATAAAGCCAACTTGAAACTCCCACGCCTCGAACTGAGCAGCTCGTTCCCGAGGTTCTTTCCTGGAGTACCCGACGATTTGCCGTCGTCAGTACAGGAGTTTTTCCAGAAGCGTGGCTTCTCACTATGGGATACAAACCCACGAAATGTGGACCTGTACCGTGATATCCGTGACTTCAAGGCCCCTGACGCGTATATTGCTCGGGCGGCAGATCAGGGATATACTTTTGGTCCTCTCCAGCCCGAGCATTACGAAGAATGCCTGGCTGGACAGAGGAAGAACTTCTCTGCAAATGCGGTAAGCATGATCCCATCTTCAATACATAAGCTGTCCTGATATTATCATCGTGCACATTTATTGGCTGTTTCTCCTCGATATAGCTAACAACAAATAGGCCTGGGTGCGTCAATATGAAGAGCTCCACCCTACCAAGTATCCATTCAGTGTAATGGCAGCCTTCGACTCCCAGGGAAAACAGGCCGCCTGGACGCTGATGCTTGGTCCTGACTCGCCGGCTCTACAGAGAAACTGGGCGCTTCCACCTGTGTGTGGGCCCAAAACCGGCCTCATCGGATGTGTAGGCGTTGATGTGGATCATAGAAAGAAGGGACTTGGGCTGGCACTACTGAGTCACGCGATGGAGGACATGAAGCGGAGAGGCGTGGAGGGAGTATTTGTGGATTGGGTGGTTCTGGAAGGGTTCTACGAGCAGCTCGGCTTCACAGTCTGGCGCGAGTATCGACGAGCAACTCTTCATATGTAGATTACCGACATTATATCCATAGGAAACCGCCACTAGGATGTATATAGCTATTATAATTGGACCAGACCCAGGCTGACAATCCCCGCATGTTGACTGGCCGAGACCTGCATCTCGGAGTCCCCCTTCCGAGAGAACCTCGGGTAAGGTTCCCCGCCTCGGGCCTCTCGAAAGGAATATTGGCAATGTTCCGAGATGACCATCTACTCTCATATCACCCAAACACCTTTCAATCTCGAGTATATGACATTCAATTATGTATCGTCTAAGCCGAACATTCAATCGAAAAAGCCCACTACCAAAGCCCTCCCAAACGCGGCCATTCCTCAAACGACACCGCCCATTCTCCACTCTTCCCCAGCACTCATCTCCGGGACCTTCTGTATCTGAAGCCCCGCTATTCGACCACTACTACGAGTGAGTAACCAGCCCAGTTAACCCTCTCTCCATTCCATACCCCACCACCTAACCACCATGATAAAATCAACAGTGCCATAGTAATAGGCGCCGGCGGCGCCGGCCTCCGCGCCGCAGTCGGACTGACCGAGTCAGGATTCCGCACCGCATGCATCACCAAACTGGTAGCATACCTACCCCCTCCTTCCTCGCCCTCACAATAGAACAAATTACAATAAGTCCAAGCAATAACCATGAGATGTTTGTTGGAAAATAGTTCCCCACCCGCTCCCACACCGTCGCAGCGCAAGGCGGCATCAACGCGGCGCTAGGCAACATGACACAAGACGACTACCGCTGGCACATGTACGACACGGTCAAAGGCTCAGACTGGCTCGGAGACCAAGATGCAATTCACTATATGACGAGGGAGGCGCCGAAGGCTATCTACGAGCTGGAGAACTACGGCATGGCGTTTTCCAGAACCGAAGACGGACGTATATATCAGCGGGCTCTGGGAGGACAGAGTCTGGATTATGGAAAGGGGGGACAGGCGTATAGGACTGCTTGTGCGGCGGATAGGACGGGTCATGCTATGTTGCATGCTTTGTATGGGGAGGCGTTGAAGGTAATATTATTACCATATTCTTATTTTACTGTAGAAAGGATGGAATTTTGAAGACTGACCGATGGATGTGTTTCAACTACTACAGCACGATACCCAATTCTTCGTCGAATTCTTCGCCCTCGATCTCCTAATGGTCGACGGTGCCTGCGTGGGCGTCATCTGTCTCTCTCTTGAAGACGGCACGCTGCATCGCTTCTTCGCGCGAAACACTGTCCTCGCGACGGGCGGTTACGGCCGGGCTTACTTCTCCTGCACTTCCGCACACACTTCCACAGGGGACGGCAATGCCATGATTGCTCGCGCGGGTCTCCCTAACCAGGATATGGAGTTCGTGCAGTTCCACCCCTCCGGGATCCATGGCGCCGGGGTACTCATTACGGAAGGTGCGCGCGGAGAGGGCGGATATCTTCTCAATGCGCACGGCGAACGGTTCATGGAGCGGTATGCCCCGACGGCTAAAGATCTAGCCAGTCGGGATGTCGTAGCAAGGGCTATGAATCTTGAGATCCGTGAGGGACGGGGCTGTGGCCCGGATAAAGATCATATTCATCTCCAGTTGTCTCATTTACCGGCTGAGCTTATCCGCTCACGGCTCCCTGGGATTCTCGAGACGGCGTCGATCTTCGCGGGCATTGATATCACGCGGGATCCTATCCCTGTTGTTCCTACGGTCCACTATTGCATGGGTGGGATCCCGACGAACTATAAGGGCCAGGTGCTTACGACTAGTAGTAGTCGCACTTCGTCTGAGACAGACATCCCGGATAGAGAAGTAGAGCCAGTCCCGGGTCTCTACGCAGCCGGCGAATGCGCCAGCGTTAGCGTACACGGCGCCAATAGACTCGGCGCGAACTCGCTTCTCGATATAGTTGTCTTCGGCCGGGCGTGTGCCCTCCACATCGCCGAGACGAACGAACCAAACATGCCCCTCCACAATATCCCACGCGATGATACCCCTCTGTCGAACCTAGGCCAAGACTCCCTATCCAGTCTATCCACAACCCTCCACGCAACAGGCGATCTCCCGTCTTCATCGCTCCGCCATAATCTCCAACGCGCAATGCAAACGGACCTCGCTGTGTTCCGCACGCACGAATCCCTCACCACTGGACTAAGCAAAGTAATTCAAGTGCAGAACGACTTCTCCACGCGACTCAAGACAAGCGATCGAAGTCTAATCTGGAACTCGGATCTCGTGGAGACGCTAGAGTTGAGGAATCTGCTGACGTGCGCGGCGCAGACGGCTAAGGCGGCGTTGTGTAGGACGGAGAGTCGGGGGAGTCATGCGAGGGAGGATTTCCCGGAGAGGGACGATGAGAGGTGGTTGAGGCATAGTTGGACGTGGCAGAAGGATGAGAAGGAGGAGGGGGTTAGGGTGGGGTATCGGGGGGTGATTATGGAGACGTTGGATGAGGGGGATTGTAAAAGTGTGCCGCCGGTGAAGAGGAGCTACTAGGGATTTCCCTTTGGTTAGTTTACTTGATAAGTGGTCAGGTGGTCCTGGGGGAGAATGGAGTCAATAGAGAGGACTGATGTGTTACTTGTCGCATGTAGTCGGATGCAAGGTACGGGCCGCGGATGCAGAAACAGACCCGGTATGTTGGCCGATGTATACGGAGACTTAGATAGGGGACCCGCTTCTGAGGGGCACCTGCATAGCTGCTCGCCGGCCAGATCGGCACTGTTGCTTATGCCCAGAGACAGCCTTTTCTGAGCGATGGTGGCAAATCTTATCGTGAGAAGAGAGGTAGAGACGGGAGGGGTAGAGGACATGATGATCCTGAGTATAAAACCCCCCTCTTTCCCTCCTCTTCTCCCATCATCTCCTTCACTCTTCTGCATCCAGTTTATTCACAGACTGCTGATATTTGTCCAGCTAGAAGTATCAACAGACCCCCTCTACATGATTACTCTCTTCGCGGAGGAATCAGTCCTACGTATATAGTGAACGACAAAGCACTAATCATAAATTATCATTCATTAGAGTAGTACATGATCTTTCACTCAGTGAAGATCCTTGCAAACACCCTCAATTTCACTGTATTCTGCACTCATATTCTACCCCGTAATTAGAGCGCGGAAAATCGCACCAAACGCCGAAAACTTCGCGAAACAACATACCCATCCGTACTCCGTGTCGAAAGCAACGGTTTCATCGTACACGCACATGAAACCTGGAGTGCTCACAGACAGATGCATCCCGCTTAGCCACTGGTGGCAAGGTGGTCAAGCTTGTACAAGGGCTCCAAGTGGACGTTGCGCCGGAAGATGTAGCGGTTGATCCACCAGGGAAGCACCTGAAACATCTGGTAACGCATATGCATCCGAGTCGGGACTCCGAAGATGTAGTCAAGTTCTTCCAAAGTCCGCTGCTTAGTCTCAGGGACCCACAGGAAGATCATAACAAAGGCAGTCACGTTCAGCGCCCTGCAAAATGTTAGAGTGGCTGCAGAAAAGGCCAAGTGGGCATAACCAGGTAATGTCAGGACTTACGCGTAGAAGCCAAAGGCACCAGTTGGAGTCATAACGGCCAACATGCGGGGGAAGGTGATTGAAAGTACCGCAGCCCAGCCGAGACATACTGCCACAGCCCAAGCCATTCCGACCTCTGCTTTCGTTAGCCTGATTGTGACTTGAGTACCAGAAATTCACACTTACCACGATGAGACAGAGGGAAGACTTCTGCGGAGTAAGTGAACGGGACTGGTCCCTCGCCGGGAGAGTAGAAAGCCGCGAACATGAAGACGAAGAGAGCGATGCATGCCAGATGCGCCGTCTGCTCCTTGGGGATGTAAAAACAGAAGCCTGCGGCCAGCAGAGTCCAAGCCATCTGGGGGAACGTGAACAAGAGCAGAGCGCGACGGCCATAAGTGTCAATGGTGAACACCGCCGGGAATGCAAAGATAAAGTTTACAAGCCCGAAACCCCAGGAGGCAAACAGTGCTTCAGTAACGTTGGCTCCTGCCTGCTGGAAGACAGTCGAGGAATAAAAGGCAACGATATTGATTCCACACATCTGCTGCGCAATCATCACGACGAAGGAAGCAAGGGTTGCACGGCGGATACGGGGAATGGTAAATAACTCGACAAATCGGGTGGCATAGTTGCTCACTCCAGCAATATCCTGCTCAACCTTGATCTGTGCGTAGATGTAGTAAAGATCACGCGCGGCCTGCAGCTGGGTGTTGCGCAAGCGGCACAAAGACTGGTAAGCGTTACGCATCTTTTCCTTCTTGATGTACCAGCGAGGCGACTCTGGACACATGAAGACACCAATCAGCAGAGGAAGCGCTGGAATAAAGGCAGAACCGAGCTGGAGTCTCCAGGAGATATCCCCAGTGTCTTTGACAGCAAGGTTCGCGGAAGTCCCAAGGAAGATACCAAAGGCGGTCCACAACTGCCAGCACATAACGAGACCTCCACGAACAGAAGCCGGGGTATTTTCTGCACAGAACATTGGAATTGTAGACGCCTTCAAGCCCATTCCCAAGCCAAGCAGCAGACGAGTCACGAACAGCTGAGGCCAGGTCTGACTGACGGCCGATCCAATAGGAGCAAGAAGGCAGAAGATGGCAGACATGAAAATAGCGCCACGGCGACCCAGATATTTGTTCAGTGGGTCGGACAGCCAGCATCCGATGACAGCGCTAGACATGTATGGAGCCCTATCCAAGAACATTAGTCTCAAGGTGATCCTCACACGATACGGGGACAAGGGCTGCGCACGCATTGACGACACCGACAAGCCACTGGTTTCTCGACGCGTTTGGACCATCCTCAGGGATTCCAAGCGCAACAGGGAACGAGAGGTTGGCGCCTAGATAATAAATTAAGCTTAGCGAGGGCTGCTATACTCAAGTATCAGGGCACACTTACCATTACTTCCGGTTTGATCCCAACCCCTGGCGGGAATATCAGCAAAACAGCTCAAAACCACCGTTCCAGTTGTACTGAAAGAAAGCAAAAGTCTCGGGCGTGA